ACTGAAATGCCAAAAGAACTAGTTGGGCTCATCCTAGCAACATTGCAACAACCACCCGGCCTTTGGTCATTTGACAATGGCAGAGCCGTTTTTTTTTTTGGCTATAGCATTCAGTTTTGTTGTACGCTGGAGTCGCTCGGCGAGGAGGGTTAACCGCCATAACCCAATACTATTCACTTATAGATCCACGAGGCACACCGGCTCTCGCTCACTGGGGGCCAGGGGTGTCATGCAACAGTCGGAAGGACAAATGCATACTTTCATCGCACATAGCAAGTCAAGTTTCAATGGAGGCTTGCACTGGTGGGAGCACTGTGTTGTTAGGACGGACAGTCACATAGGCGATCCAGCACCTCTTTGCCCTAGAGGCTCGAAGCAAACTCATAAAACAGGAGCAGGACAAACACTGTGCAGGGTATCTGGGGACATACTTCACTGTTCTTCCGGATCAGGTAGCTGCCAACACTTGTTTTCACCTCAAGATCCATAGTAAACAAAAGTCCGGCTCCTCGCGGAGCATCACTCCATTTCTTGTTTTATGCGGAGAACTGAGATATGTGTAGGTGCCTTTCAGATTGATATATATATAAGGTGGTCCAAGTCACCAGGCTCAATCTAAAATAGACCGTAAAAATCGACACCTGCACGTAGCAATTTAAACTCTTCGTCAAAGGTGTACTTCACAGGTCGGTTTTTTCTTGTAAAATTACCAAGCATAGTTCTCTTTCTGTAAAAAATAAGGCCGAGAAACTTGCCAAGGTCTATGGCGGGCAGCGACGCAGACGACGGGGGTTCAGAGCGGGATGTGTTTGGCGTTTGTATTGATAGATGGCGTCGGGAGCAACGTCCAAGGGTGCAGCTGACCAGCGAAAGAAAGCAGACGACACGCGGACGAAATTTGTTGGCAGCAAAAGTGCCGCCGTTATGCAGACGTGTCTTTTCACTTTAAGTTTTGCTTTTATTGTCCGCATTTATTTTTTAACCGAAGGTACATTTTAAAAAGATTATGTTCATTTTAATAAACCATGGTGGTAGTGAGTTGTCGCGATAAGGAGGTAGCGCCATCTATCAATACAAACGCTAAACACACCCCGCTACTGAACCCGTTGTCTGCGTCGCTGCCCGACGTAGACCCTGGCAAGTTTCTTGGCCTTATTTTTTACAGAAAGAGAAGTACTCTTTATAATTTTACAAGAAAAAATTGTTCAGCCTTTCCACTCTCGTGAAGAAGGAAGACCAGCGGAGCTGTACTTGATACTCTGTTTGCTTCTTCTTCTTCGTGATCTTTTTTTCGCGCTGTTTCCTACAATGAATTTCCACCAACGCGCCCAACTATCCATTCTTCTATTATAGTAGCTGGAAAGGTTGCCACCATCTACGAGCGACGGCAGAAACCATACTGGTTGTGTGCTTGTCGCCGTCGCTTATAGATGGCGGTAGCTGTCCAGGTAGGTTTGTGTCGACATACACGGACATAATTCTGGGGAACCTAGCCCTTAACAGCTTCGCTGTAAAAACCGACCTGTGAAATACACCTTTGACGAAAAGTTTAGACTGCTACGTGCAGGCGTCGATTTTTACGGTCCATTTTAGATCGATCCTGGTGACTTGAACCACCCAATAAGTTATCTTATCAATACGTACACGTTTTGTGGGCACCCTGGCGGCTCCCAAGCCAAGTTGCCCGACTGCGAGGCTCAAGCCGAACTTTTCCCGCGTGGCGGCGACGTCACGCCAGCCACGCGCACATCGGATGCGCCGCCTTGATAAGGCAGATCAGAGGCGGCGCACGGGGAGTCGCTGCCTGGACTCAGGCGCCGCTGGTAACCATGTTAATCGTCTCGTCCATGTCCCATTAAATGTAGTTTCTTGTTGTTGAAACCGTTGGCTCCGTGTTATTCCTCCGGGTCGGGTATGCAGCAAGGCAAACCGACCACAATGGCGCCCAACGTGGGGCCACCTCCTCCTGGGGTCACCTCCTAAAAAAAGGCGTCAAGTGGTGTTGGGCCGAACAACAACAATGCGCATTCGCAGCCCTTTCAAAAGCCGTGACTGACAACGCTTGTTTACAGCTCCCAGACTTGAACAAGCCGTTCGTTCTGCAGACAGATGCAAGCGACTGTGGCCTGGGTGCTGTATTGCTGCAGGAGTATGGCGGTGTGCTTCGGCCAGTTGCTTTCACGAGCCACACGCTAACTTCAGCCGAGCGCAACTACAGTGTCGCAGAACGTGAATGTCTCGCCATTATTCATGCTTTGAAGCGCTTCGATATGTACCTAGATGGCGCAACGTTCCAGATTCAATCTGATCACTTAGCGCTATCATGGCTAAGGGGACTTAAGAATCCAGCTGGACGTCTTGCTCGTTGGGCGCTTACGCTACAACAGTACGACTACTCCATTGTGTACCGCCCGGGGTCAACTAACAAAGTTGCTGATGCGCTTTCTCGTGCTCCACTTCCTGAGGAACACTTGCAGGATACCCATGGCTTGGTGACCGTCGCGGCCACGACACGAGGATCCCCAGATTCACGGTGGGGTACATTGGTGAGCCGCGAGGAGCTTCGCAAGGCGCAGCTGGATGACGGACTCTGCCAACGCGTGTCCGCTTGGCTGGCAGCAAGAGGTCCAGTTGACCGCCCAAGTGACGAGGAGTTCGACTCCTACTTGATGAGCGACGACGGCCTCCTGCTGCGCTACATCCCCCAGGCCGACGACGATCCGGATGGCTCGGCGTTCCGGACCGTGATACCCCGCAAGCTACGTAAGCTTTTCATCCGATACATGCATGACTCTGCCTTGGCAGGACACAGCAGTGGGAGCAAGACTTACGAAAAGTTATCCCAAATTGCTACCTGGCCAGGCATGAGGCAGGATGTGCTCCGATACGCTCGTAGCTGCTCGGTGTGCCAGAAGGCAAAACCACGTGGTGGCCAGCCCCCCGGTCTCATGCAACCAATCGCGAGTCAGAGCCCTTGGCAGATTTGTTGCTGTGACGTCATGGGCCCCTTCCCACGTAGTACCCGGGGCAATCAGTACTTGTTCGTGGTAACCGACCACTTCACGAAGTGGGTTGAGTTATTTCCATTGCGGAAGCTAGATTCGCAAAAAATCTGGGAGTGTCTACTCGAAACATTCGCTAGGTTTGGCTTTCCTGCACAGCTTGTAAGCGATAATGCCTCCTATTTCACGAGTAAGGTGTTTGTGGACGCATGCGCGGTACTGGGAATCAAACACAAAAGAACTTCCCCGTACCACCCGCAAGCAAACATCACGGAAAGGGTAAATCGAAACCTTAAGATGATGCTAGTGGCCTACACAGAGCACCACAAGGACTGGGACGCGAAACTGCCCGAGCTGGCATTCGCGACCCGTACAACCACTAATCGGTCAACGGGTCTCACTCCTGCCCAATTAAATTTCGGCAAGGAGCTCGCATTCCCGCTTTCTAACAGCCTCCTTTCTACAGAGTCTGGAGGAAGGCCTCGCCCCTACGTCAAGTTCGCAGAGGACCTGCGAAAGCGCTTCTCCGATAACCTTCGAGAGGCCAGAGAAAATCTCGACGTCGCCCGGGTACAGCAGGCTGAACAGTACAACCGGGGGCGACGTGACTTGCAGTTCGAGGTGGGAGATTTTGTACTCCGGCGTACTCACCCACTGAGTGACGCCGCTCGAGGCTTCGCAGCCACCCTCGCCAACAGGTGGGAAGGTCCGTTTCGCGTGCGTGAAAAGTGCTCGCCACTCACTTACAAACTAGTTAACTGTGAGTCTAGTGAGGAAACCGGACCTGTTCATGTCACCGACCTTAAACGATTTTTCCAAGCAGAAGACGAAGATTCCTCGCAGGACCGGAACGACACTGACGGCAGTCCCGTTCCGGAAACCCCCTTGTCTCCACCAAGGCGGCGGTATAACCTGCGACGTCGGTGACACCAAAGAGAGAGGAACCTTTTTTTTTTTCTCCTTGGCTTTGCCTCTCTCGCATTTTGGGGGTAGTTTTCTACTTCCACGGATCTGCCCCTTTTTCAAGAGAGGGGGGAGAGGATTGTGTGCCCACCTCAGATCCGTTATTTCAAACTTTCTGGAAGGGGTCCGAAGATAACGTCAGGCTCAGCCCTCAACTGAGTCCCATGTCGTCTGCTTCTATGTTTTCTACGAAGCTGACTCGTGGACGAAACCGTCGCCACACCCGCCATCTGAACGACACGGCGGCCGGTTTCATCGTGGACCGCGGCCACCCTCTACAGGACGGAGCAGCAGCTGGCTAGGATCAAGGACCACGTGCAAAGCAGCCACCTGGTGGAGCCCTGATCCCGGACAAGCGACAAGCTGGAGCTGACCGAGCCGCCGCGCTCGTCAGCAGCCGCCGCGCTCGTCCAGCAGGCGCCGGCCGGACTTACAACGTCAGTCCGCCCAACAGCGCCATCCACCCCTGACGCCCACAACGTCTCCGTCATCGACATGCCGGACGAAGCTTGAGGGGGGGGAAGTGTGGGCACCCTGGCGGCTCCCAAGCCAAGTTGCCCGACTGCGAGGCTCAAGCCGAACTTTTCCCGCGTGGCGGCGACGTCACGCCAGCCACGCGCACATCGGATGCGCCGCCTTGATAAGGCAGATCAGAGGCGGCGCACGGGGAGTCGCTGCCTGGACTCAGGCGCCGCTGGTAACCATGTTAATCGTCTCGTCCATGTCCCATTAAATGTAGTTTCTTGTTGTTGAAACCGTTGGCTCCGTGTTATTCCTCCGGGTCGGGTATGCAGCAAGGCAAACCGACCACAGTTTCAAACACCAAAAAGCATTGTTTCTTCCTCCGACAACCAAATCTTGTAAGACCTACTTTGCACAGTGTATCAACAATGCGCAAAACTTCCTTTTTTTCATGAGCTGAAAACGGGCTTTGTACATTAGAAAGACCTACGTTATCTGCATACTCTAAGCTACAGACATCTGTTATCTTTTATGGGACAAACAGTAATGTTTGTCCACCCACTTTCACCCACTTTAAGTAGCCATATCTCAGTATATATACAGCAGAACCTCAGTGATATGTTTTCCAGGGGACCGCGAAAAAAAAATGTATCATCCGGGAAAATGTAACCACCGATAACGCACTTAGGGGGCTCTACATGACAGAGAAAGCAACTCTTATACAATGGTTTATTTTATGTGCACTTACAGAACTGTTGAGGACTCAGACACCCCAACTTTGCCTGTTTTGCCCCTTGAGGCTGTTTGAAGGCTGGATGATGAAAAGGAGCTTTTGCCTCGATCTCCTTTCGTTTGGTGACGATGCTGTTCAAAGTTGACGGCGCGGGTCCGAGGTCTCTTGCGATGTCAGATCTCTTCCGGCTGGGATTACGATCCACCGTCCAAAGTATATCAAATTTCTCTTTAAAAGAGAGTGCCTTCCTTTTTCGTGATGCCATGACCGTTGTCAATGGGCGCAAAGTGCAGATACTCCGAAACACCACGGTTCACACAATCGAGCGGAACAGAAACTAGAAGCACAGCGTGCATGTGAGTGCATCTTGTGCCAGAGAAAGAGAAGGACAGGTGAAGGAGAGAGCAAGAGAGAATGAGCGTTTGCCGCCTCGCCAGCCTCACTCCCCGTCTGAACAGTGCTCCAAGGCCACACTCGGGCAAGATGGGAAGCTGTGGCAGAGCTCAGCAAAGCCCATCGAGGAGACAGAAGGAAAAGAGGGGGAAAGGAATAAAGGGGAGATGGGCGTCTACGTGCCCACGCGTGCCATGCAACCCGCATTGCATGGTTCGGCTTTGCTCCGCTAGCTCCACTTCAAAGCCAGCGTGGCAGCCTGGCGCCTGGTGCACCGAGGCACCACGATGCCGACACTTTTGGACGCAAAAAGCGGAAAAGCAAACGTAACAAGCAGGAAAATAATACATGTATCTCTATGGAAGTAAAACGGAACCGGCATTTTTGAACGTAAAAGCCGGGAAAACGTATCAACAAGGTTCTACTGTATATTAAAGCGCCACTCAAACTGTTCATAAACTACTGGTTTCGTAGTCATCTCTGCTCACCCAGCAGTTTAACAATACCCAAGACATTTCACTGCCTACTGTATCGACAAGTATGTTATCACAGAGACCCACTACTCAACTAGAAAACATCTACATAAGTGCAATTTTCCCCCCAGCCCTAATAAACAGGCAAAGATTTTGCGTTCAGATAGCACTAATATTCTTAACGAAAGCTGATGGGCTTTCGTTAAGCACTACAGCAAAAATATTAGAGATGCCGACGCTGTCTCCAAGCTAATATAAATGCAACTTTCCTGGTGTGCAATGATTCAAGGGTCTTACAAAACCCGACAGAAAAAACAAAATAGCAAAAAATAACATACAAGTGGAGTTACAACACCGGTTTCTGGAGATTTTGTTTGATACTAAACCATAGAGTGAAGACGTCGCAATCAACAAGATCTCCGTGAAATTCTGGCCCTACAGGATATAAAGAGCCTTGAAAAGATGAGTTGATACTGATAACCGCGTTCGTCAACTCTGCATGCACGTAAACATGCCAACCAGCCTTAGCGCTTTTGCTTTTATTAACTATTTTGTTTTCTCGCTGCTTTTACACCTTCTGCAGCCCATGTCGCTGCTTCAAAATGTGGCTTCACGAGTCCATCATTTCATTCTCGTCATTACAACACAAAACCTAGAGGCAACTGAATGTCAGTTGCACAAACAATGAACGAAAAAATGAATAAAAATGCAACATCTCTTATTGTGTGACTGCCCCTTTATCTTTACCCAGCTCTGCAACTTAATTTCTCTCGTGCAATTTAATGCAACCACACGCCTTGAGCGACATTGAGAACTGTCGATCAAACTTAACCAGCAATATTGCAACAACATCTGGACAATGGGGAAGTAACGTAGGCTCATTCAGCGATAGGGAATTGAGTGGCACCAGTGATCAGTCGGGGCTTTCGGATCAAAAACTTGGAACAGACGCCCTTCCAAAACCTGCCATTCAATCCAGTAGTGCGCAACTGCTTGAAAATCAAAAGCTCTCTTGTCAAGTCAATCAATGAATCAATGCTCGTGCAAAGACACCTCGACACCGACAGACCGTTCTCGAAAGCCAAGGACTACAGGATCAAGCTGTACAACATAGCCCCTTCTTTTAATTCCCCGGTACTGTAACTAAAAAGGACTAGGTCATACAGTGGAGACAATATGGTCTATAACCATAAAAAATAGGACAGTGGTGCATAGTAGATGGAAACCACTTTTTTTTTTTTTTTTTTTTTTTTGTCTTGAGCTCAAAACATACAAAACTTATGTTTGACTCTTTGCTTTCTTTTGAACACTTAAACCACGACCAGCATTACAAACTTCTTGACACAACTAGAACCTGATATACTCTAAGTATACAATAGAGTAACATCCATTCACATATTTTCTTCAGATTCTTGCTATGTTTCAAAATTTTTTATAATTATAAGTTTACCATTTTCCTAACAATTTCACGTCCCCTAGGTCTCAGCTGTTAGTACTAGACATTGTCAAAATGTGTGGACCGCATTTCAGTACCAAAATATCCACGATATCTAAGGAAACAAATATCCACTGTAATTTTTTTGACTAGTTTACTTAATTTCAGTAATGATAACCTCAGGTAATCAATGAAGAAAAAGTAAGCACTGGCACTCTAAGAGGTGACTAGAACATTTGATTTTCCACAGTGATGCGATCCTCTCAAACTCGGAGGACAAAACCAGCGTTTATTTCGTACGGGCCAAATGGCTAGCTATGAAAGCCACTTTTTCGCTCACTTTCAGCCCTATATTCAACAGTAATAAAAATGGTCTCCAAAAAGGAATAAGGCTATAATAGTATGCCTGTATTGTTGTTTTTTTGCAGATGGAGGAAGCACTGTACAGTGGTACATTGCTTAACGCAAATTTCGAGGAAAGTCTAGCCATAGTATCAAAAGTGCAAGAAATCTTAATTACACCGAGTAACCCTGCATGGCAGACACAACTCGAACATCGGGCCCAACCTTGGTTCGGTCATGGAATCATAAAAAGCGAATGGCAAGCACCGGAACGTAAGACAAATTCCCAAAGTCCACGATTCAAGATTCAACGCTCGTACACCAACAAAAGAAATCTGTACAAACAGAACACGCTCGTTCCCAACAGTTCACGCACCTTTTTTTTTTTCCAGTATCGACGCTAGGAGCTGTATTAAAAGAGCACAATGCACTCCGTTTCGCCCGAATACGAAAGAGGGGACAGAAGGCTGCAAGTGCAAGAGTGCAGCCTTTGGGCCAGCTTCCACTGGCTGCACACGTGTGCACCGACTCCCCTCAAAACTGCACCCTTGCGCCCTGGCCACGCACTGCAGACTCGTTTCAAATCGAACCGAAGTATGGTCGCTCCCAAGTAAACGCTGGGACTGCAACGGCAACTTCTTGACGACTAGCATTGCGGCAACGGTCGCGCTCACTGGCGCAGGCTAAACCCCGGGGCCTGTCCTCAGAAGCTGACCTTTCCCCGTGCTTTGAAGAAGCCCAAGTGGTTGATGTTGTGGAATGCCGCGGCCAGTCCCACATAGCTGGTCACCACCAGGGGTTCGTGCACCACCTGGCAGGGGGTGCTGCGGGTCAGGTGCGGCGGGGGCGCGGTGGACGGATCCAGCGCGGCCATGGTCTGGGCCAGGGCCCTCGAGAACCCGTCGACGTCGTGCTGGGGTGCCCCCGCCGGCGTGGAGCACAGGTGGTGCGAGGTGAAGGTCACCCAGGGGATCTCGCGGCACCAGGGGTTCCACTCCTGCATTTGGCAGGAAAGACGGTTTCCTTGTGTGTAGCATTATTATGGCCAACTCTCGGTGCATTCGTGTCCGTGGCACGTGGCCTCCATAGTTAAGTCGTGCTGATGATGTCACGGTGTTCATCTGACGTCGTCAGTGCGACAGTTGCCAGGTGACACCAAGTGACCCCATGATGTCGCATGACACCAGAAAGACAGCGACGTCGCATTACCTGATCGCGTGACACCATGATGTCGCCGAGGAACTACAAATACTAGCGTCGTGCAAATATTTAAATTTTCAAATAGTGGTTTCGAATAATGTACTATTCAATATTTGCTTCGAGATGAACTGCGATATTTCTACTTTTTGGAGTGTTGACCGATCGGGGTGGGCGAGCTCTATTTATGAGCTTCTCATCGAGCGCCTGAGCACTGCAGGGAAGCAATACCTGCGGAACTTGCGGGCAGGTCCCCGCAGTGCACAGTTGCTCGGTAAGAAGCACACTCAATGGGGCTAACCCGCTGCCATTATGCAAAAGTACATTTTACGCAGCGGTCTTGACAACCTGCGTTTATCATGCATGTTGTTTGTTTTTTTTGTCCAATATGAAATTTGAAAAAAAAATATGCGTATAGCAAGCAGCTCTACAAATCTCCCTGTACAAAAAGACTGCCTAGTTAAGTCATCAAACGCTGCCGTTTGTCGCATTCCTCTGTGGCAAACTGAAATGTGTGGCTCTATTTGGCCACTCGTTGCCATGGTCACCACTGCCGTACACTTCCTTGAGCTGGCAATGTAAAGCGGCTGCCAATGGTATCCATGACAACAGAAGACCATAGCATTACACATGTCTCCAAGCGAGACCAGTTTCCCGGCCGTGGTGCCACGTTATATTTTGTCGCTCCTCGACTCCTACTCTGAGCACAAGTTAAATTATGCGATTCTGAATCCTTGGTTGAATGTATGTTAAGTGATTGATGCAAGTTTTAAATGAGTTAGGTGCCTTAATGACAGGGCTCGTGAAATTCTTTCTCAATCGTCTCTCGTACAAAAACAGGATATGACAGATTAAAGGCGGCGGCCTTGCTGTGGATGTGCGCAGGCTGCATTAGGAGAGCCTATTAGGAAGACGCGAGCCCATGCTTGCAGCTTTCGTTGGGGTGCAAACGGCGTAGGATCGTCAACAGTGGGAGGACCACGTTCTCCGCCGACCGTGTTTGTGAGCACACTTGCCTTGCGAGCCGGCAGAACAGTCCCCTGATTCCAGGAGCAGCGTACGCCTTCCTGGTTGCGGGGGCTGCAAACAAAACGAAACAAATTTGGTCTGGAAACTTCGGCGTCATTCCCCTCTTTAACGGGACATGGCGCTTCGTTTTACCTTCGAAGCATGCGTCAAAGGTTTGAAACGTTTGGACAGGGTTCGAACTGCTCCGGTTTCGTCGGTCGACTAGCGCACCGAAGTTGCGGCAGACAAACCCACTTGTGCGCCCCCCAAATTGGGAGACCCTCACCCCGGAAAATAGCAGGCAGTGAAGGAACGAACAGACAGTGAAGAGCAGGCAGTGATGCAACAGAGAGCAACACCTCCTAGATCGCACGGCGGTAGTGCTGCGATTTCTATGTCACTTGGGGGACCAACGGGGGTGCCGGCGCTTTGCCTCAGAGTCGCTGGGGCGGCCGGCTTCCGGTACGCGACATAGAAAACTCGGCACTATGGCACTGCCATCTAGGAGATGTTGCAGAAAGAGAGAAGGAGGGAGAGACCTTGAGAGAGGAGAGAGAAGGGGGGTGACAGCCTCGAAGGCCCCACAGTTAGCCATCCGAGCCAGACTCCGGCCCCGGGGGTGCAGCAGCCGGTCCCTGACCGTATCCAGAGCTACGCCAATCTTCCTGTGTGGGGGGGCGGGATGGGGGGTTTAGACCCGTCCGATGTCTGCGGTTGTTTCGCTATCAATCGCGACAACTGACTCGTGTGGCAGTCCTCACCTAAAACATCTGCCGCGCGTTAGCGACTGTTACGCGGTTGTTACCGTACAATGGAACGGACGTTCGCCCCATTATCCCACGTTTAGAACAGAGAGCACAGGCTTCGGGGATTCCTACTTAGGCTCATATATTTGTCCGCGTGATGGCTAGTAGGTCTGCCCCTCATGTGGGACCCCCTCAGTTCGAGCGGCGAGGTGCACAAAAGTTTGAAGATCGTCGACTGAGAGAGGGACTCGACACGCGACTCTCGTCGGCGACGGACAGCTTGGTGCGTGTGTGCAAACGACACTATCTGTAGCCATGGAACCATCTGTAATTCTAATGCTCGCGTATTAAACAGTTACAATTACATACTACCTGACACCTCCTCGTTAGGAAGGGAAAAATAACTCTTACGCATGCTGACATCTAAACATTTCAAAGCTTTCTTTGTTGTCAGGTTTACTAGGGAGTCAAACGTCGAGCTGATGGCTCCTCATCGGCTCGGATGAATCGAGACTCCGAGAACACTGCGGACCATCTCCTGTTCTCGAACACTTCGGAAAACTGACAGGTTTCCGCACATTTCAAGTTGCAAGCAATTTCAGATTTTGGAACCTTTTTCCTTTTTGGTGCATTCCTGCCTCATCCACATCGGCGCCAGAGTTCTTATCCTTCCTGGCCCTTGGCAGGGGGCCGCAAACTCGAGAACTAGAATTGTCGACAGAAGCTGAATTGCCTTCCCTTCCTTGCGCAGTTGCCGCTGGAACTGTATCTTGTTCCCCAGAGCCTTTTGGCTCTGGGAAGAAAAACATATCTCAGTGGATTGCAGAAAAAAGCTATAGGCACCACAATACGCATTTATATAAGTCTATGCCTTCCCCCCCCCCCCCCCCGATTCTCCATTGCCCTAGAAGGATGGATGCTTAGCAGCATGCAATGTAGTTTCGGGTGCTGATATAGAAGACCAGAGATCATGAAATGAAGACGGCACTCACGGCATGAACGACTTGTCCGGGTAGGTGAGCAGCCCAATCTGAACCTTGTCGAAGGACTTGAGGTGCAGCCTTCGGTACTCCAGGAGCCGCAGCGTGATGAAGTCATACTTGAGCACGATCAAGCTGAAGTCGGTGAGAAACACCAGGCGCTCCTTCTCCGTGTCCCAGTGGTCAATCCTGCAAGGTACAGTCAATTGCGAATGAAGAGTGCTAGGAACCGCGAGTCCTTCAGAAAATGAGTCGGGAAGATTAGGCGTGGCCAACACTTTTAAAAAGTCTGGCGCCATTCTTCATCTGCTTTATTCATTCGTTACTATATGAATGTGGAAGGAAGAAGCATGCAACACATGGTATTCTCACTTGGAAAGTGAATGGAATAGTGTCAAAACTTTGCCCAACTTTAAGCGGTTCATAAATTTTGTCTGTAACACACATCGTTTTTGCTACGTAGGATGCAACGCTGACGTTCATCTTCGAAATGATTTCCGGCGACACTATAATCTTGCTGGCCAAGGTTTATAAATTGTCACGCGCCCTTTTTCTTTTTCTTCTGCTGGAAACATATAATTAACATTTGCTCATTCATACGAAAATTCTTCACATTTGACAGCAACAACCTACTATTTGGTGCATATCAGGAAATAACTTATAGATCTTCATTTTCTTGAAAATGAGGGCACTTTGCTCTTCTCTATCAAACTTACTGTTACAAACCAATCTGAAAGCATTTTCCCCCCCCATCCTCCATAAGAATTTTTACATGCATGTCCATTACACCTGCCAAATTGCTTCCAAAACAATGCATCAACAGTTTCCTTTGCCATATCTGCTATGCTGTCAGCAATCAATGAATGGAATGTTCTTTAAGATTATATGGTCACTATAACTAGCCATTTTCAAAATGCCTAGCGACTGCTATAGTATATTGTTTTTTTTTGTAAATTGGAATAACTTTTATGGGTGTTTTCCATTTTTTTTTTCAATTGTTTTTTTGATAGCAGCACTTGCTCTGATAACATTAATTTTATGACTGACTAGCAGTATCCTTTTTGTGAAGGGACCTGCAAGGTACAGAAAGAGAGATGAAATGAGAGACTCACTCCGTGAGCAGCCAGACTCCTCTGAGCTCTCCATCGATGTGCTTAAGCAAGACGGGACTGCACTCATCTGCCGCTCTCTCAATGGCACCCTCCTGTGGGTCACAGCAAAAAGAACAGCGGAATTTGGCGACCACATAAATTAACTTTTTGGCAACCATCGCTACCAGAGAATGTTTGGACTTGGGTGCGTGCATAGTTAATTTCTGCATTGCTGCGATCAACAGTGCAGTATGCAGACTTTTATGTGCCCGGTAGTTTGGCAAAGCCCTTTGCTTGATGAAGTGAACAAATGTCTTGCATGTGCCTTACACTAAGCTGCGTGGTTGAACACACTGTGAAATGCATGAAGACCACAAAAAGTTAATGAATAGCAACTCGAAGCTCAAAACAGCAGCTTTCAGTAGAAACAGATAGGCTGCAAGTTCAATTCTCATTAGTGCAGATTTCAGTTAAGGTGAACAATGCACCGAAAATTGTGTTGTAGGTATGTTCAGACGGCCAGAAGTTGAAGGGATACCGAACCGAAATTTGAATTTCGAAAAATAAAGCCACAGAAGCATTGAACGGGATGCTACTAACTCCAAAACATCACTCGTACATCATATCTCAAATGGATGGCTGCATTTTTGGAAATGAAGGGAACAATCAAGCGAGGACAATGAAATCATAATCCTACTGGAACGTTGAGAATGAGGGGAAGCAGCTTGGTTCTCTCCTCCTCGAGTCGGTTCACCGGCTCGAGGAGACAAAGCGAAGAGGAGAGGAAATGAGAATCGCGACGTCACATGACTCGTCGGCAGTGTTCAATCGCGCACTCCTTTTCTAGAAATATGGCCATCCGTTAGAGATATCGCTGTATGAGAGATGTTTTTAAGTTTTGCACCATCCCACCTATTGCTCCAGCCTTGTTTTGTGAGCTTGAAATTTCGGTTCAGTATCCCTTGAAGTCATCCCCAGTGGGCATCTGCTGTCTCGGCTGTAGACGAGAAATTCAGCCAGGTCAGTACAACCGCTAGCCTGGGGTCTTTAGCGTGCGCCACGCAGTAGTGATGCACAACCGCAAGCCGGTACGATGCTCATCCTGGTCGCAACAGGCAGGGGTGAGGGTTGAGCCCAGGATCCCTCGGTTTTGCAGTGCGAGCTTTCGCTCGAGCTGGTGTGCGCTAGCCCCTTGGCCACCGATCCCCCTAATCCACCCGCGCGTTCTTGAGTAGTTATTACCATGTGACGTGTCTTTTATACCTCAGATTAACGATCACACTGCAATGACCAAATAGAGTCTCTGCAGTGGCAAAACAAAGTCTTGTACTTGTTTTGTTGGTTCTGTAAGTCTAGAAAGACTTACAGAATCAATTCTACGACCTGCAACTGTTTTCAAATGAGTCCAGATACAATATTAAAAGTTGCCAAGAAATTCGAAGCATTGTAAAGTTGCGAGGAGCCATCCAATGCCTTCAGAGAACAGCAGTGTATCTACGACTTCGGTAACCAGACAAGAGCTCACCCGTTTTTTCAAAGACCCGGACAAAAGCTAACCTCTTTTTTTTCTTCTGCTACCCGGGCAAAGGACGGGCTGGGATAAAGTGCGGACACAATGGGCATTGCAACATTTTTAGGAGAACTGGCATCCCACCCCATGGAAAGGTGTGGACAGATAAGCCATAACAGGCAGAGAAGTAACAATTTGGGACCAAAATTTAGGTCACTGAAACTGAGCGGAGCTGATAAGATCAAGCTTGCTTGACTCAATGTATGCCGGAGCACCTTTGTGCCACGCCCCTGAAACTTAGTGAACCGAAATTTTTGGCCCCGAAGAGTGACCGGAGAAGCGAAGTCACCCTTCGGTGACCTTGCTTTTTCATTGCGCTTATGTCATGCTAAACGCGCGCATAAAGGTTAGGCACAATGCCTCTTCATTACTAATGCATTGGTTTTCTTGGGGTTCGGTAATATTTGAAGTGAATGGCAAGGAAAATTAAATTCTTTCCGCCATTGAGCGTCGTAGATGTATTTGAAATCAAGACTTATCTCAGGGTGATGAGAAAGAAAAACTGAAGTAAAACTGTAATATACAAAACCGCTGAGGTTTTTTTTAAATATTTTGAATTAATGGGAGTTGGGCCTTCTGGAGAAGTACAAGACAGATCACCAATTTAGAAAGCTGTGCAGGATTTTGGATAGGCTGGCGTTCCTTCCACCATAGCTTCTGCCCGAAGGACTAACCTACATCGGGGAAAAGTCTGCCGGTGACATCGGCGACCTGCTGGACTACTTTGATTGCACGTATGTCAACGGCCCCTTCCGTTATGCTTCTGCTCCTTCTGCGGCGGCACCCAGAGCGAATTCTTCCCTTTGCTGACGCACCTAAGTTGTCCGCACTCGTGTTAAGACCAACATGAAAGTATCTCCTGGTGAGCTTTTGTACGGGTCGGTGAAAAAATGGGTGAGCTTTTGTCCGGGATTCTACGACTTCAGTAGGTAGCAAATTTCACCGAGCTTTGTTTTCCAATTACGGCAGCATCAAAATTATAGTTTGATTTCTCTAGTTGTCTGGAAGCACGACTGATGTATTGTTAAATGGCATGGACGATAACGGCTTCTTTAGACATATTCTTACACAAATGGTGAAAGGTCGCTTGCAGATGTCTCAGAAATGCTTAGACTAGATGTATTTGACGACATGCACTGCCTGGAAATCTCGCAACGCTTCACTCCAGGTGCTCAAAGTACAATTCCCCGGAAACACTTTGTTTTGGCTATCAAAACGATGGCTACAGCGATCCTCGCGCCCGGAAAAATGCGGGTGACCTAATTTCTGTAAACCGTTGGAAGAACGTGCTCGTGCCACGTGAGAGGCTTACAGATACCAAAGCAGTAGTTACAGCACTTAAACAAGTGCAAATGTATACATGAACGCGCGCACAAAATAACAACAAGCACTGGACAGATGATAGGGCAGTGAAGGGAGCTCACCCGCACTGCGAAGTACTCTTTTGTCTCCTCCTCGGAGATTTCCCTGGAAAACTGCCGCACGGCGCTCGCAGGTGCAGGACTTGCGGACGACTGCTCAGTGACGTTGCCATTGGTGCTAAGATCTGTCCAGAAATACGCGGCATCCGAGTGTGACGCTACGACTTCGACCATCACCACGAAGGACCGCTAACTGCAGCAAACAAAGTATCACAATGCGCTCGAAAAGCAAATGGCTCAAACGCCGCCGCCTGTAAAAAACAGGGCGCGAAAAAAAAAAAATAGAAAACCGAAAGAAACCACAGACCGAACACACATCTCACAACCACCTGCGGATGCCCGACAGACTCCGCCCTCCCCCAGCCTTGAGAAAGCAGAGTTCGCGAAAGATGCTGACCGAGTGCGTGATGCTCTCGGCGCGCGGAAGAGATTTGGTCGTGCAGTTGGTTGTGCAGAGTGCTATAAGTGTTTCGTGTCAAACTTTTGGTGTACACTACACAACGTACCTCCGGAACTACGAGTTCTGACGAGGCACGAAGTTGCGACGGTGCGGGGTTCTGTCGTCGGGTTCGGAGACGACGCTTCTGGTTCTTCACTCAAGGAAAGCGTCACTCCCCTGAAATGGGCTTCGGGGAAGTCGTCCAGACGCTCCACGTCGCTCAATTCCCCGGGACTTGCGGCGTTGTTCAGGGTTTTGGAGTATTGCTGCACCCCCAAACCGGCCATTTCGTGCAGACGGGCAGTACACAACACAGGTAGCTTGGATTGGCTCGTGTCGGATAGTAATTGATTCGGATCATTCGAATCCATCGCGCTTCCAATCCAGTGCGCTTCCCGTTGTGCGGCGGCGGCCATCGAGCGGCCATCTTTCATGAACGAAAATCGCGGTTTTGCGAGCGTTGCAGAGGATGGCGGCAGCGTGCTGAAGACAGATTTTCTACTCGTCCATCGTCATTCGCCGAAGAAGTTTGCTAAACCCATCTGCTAAAGGTGAGACTTGCCTTTGAGAACACATGGACATTTTTACGAATGCGCTGGCCGCAGTAAAGAGGCACAACTTGTCGAAAGCAATTTTCGCCGCTCTCGTGGCGTTATCGAAGCTTCCTTGACACTCCGAAGCGCTGCCTCTCTGTGCTTCGCACGCTTCGATACCGATCAAGAATCGACGCCTCGGCAAAGTTCTGAAGGTGTGAAGCGCGTAGATGTCTGCATCATATATCGGCTTCGGAGTTCTGTGTCGTCCGGCTGTTTCGGCCATATCAATAAATAAAAAAAGGGGGGGGGGGTGCTGTTATGCACTAGTAACGATGGCTATGTTCCACATCTACTCTAATGGATCACATGACAGCACAAATAGAGCAACGCTGTGGAGCAAAGAAGGAAGTTTCGAAGGCAAAAGTACAAGACGGACAGATTGAAAATATTTGAAACGCGGCCCATATGGTCATGTGCAATCTGTTGACAAATCACAATTCCTTAATGGTAAGGGTTCAAATCACATCGCCACTTTTGAACAAAGAAGCCAGGGGCGTCGGAAGTGCTTTGGGGAGGGGGGGGGGGGGGGGGGGGCGCACAGAAATAGAAACTGTTCTACTGAAGTAATTGCCGTAAACGTCTAACCAAAAAAAAAAAAAAAAAAAGAAAAACCCGCCGGCGTTTGACGGTTTGTTTTGGTTTGACTCAAGCTCGATTACGCTATACTACGACAAAACGTCCCGCCAGTCACGCCAGCCTTGCACTACCTTGAACACCTTGAACGAGTCACACTACGCGTGGAAGGAGGCATAATATTCATCAAACAGGAATTTGAGACTTTGGGATTCTGTAGCATTTATTTCAATCAAGAAACTTGTCGGTGAGAAATGAAATATCGTATTTCCTAGTGACAATTATTTTTCCTTTTTTTTTTCACTGAAATAAATGCTACAGGCACCCATAATTTTATATATAGGTTGGGTGAAAGGCTTGGGTGGACATCGACTCATAGATAAACATTGTTTATATTTTGCATATTTTTGATCCAGGTAACTTCGTGTGCTCAACATTTTGCGTTTTATTTCCACCGCTTGCGTCACCTTCTCACGGAGCTGTGGCTTCCTGCGATGCGTAGTTTATTTTAGTAGGGTACGAATTGTTGGGCTAGTTGGTTCATCTTAGCAAAAATATAAAATAGCGCAAAAAAAAAAAAGACAAGGACAAGAAGTATACAGGACAGGCGCTAACTTTCAACTAGTTTTATTCAGGCAAAGCAGCACCTCGTAAAAGTTGACTAATTTTTTACCCGATCATTCAAAAACTGAAATCCATTACTATGAAGTACAATAGAAGTGTCGCTGACACATGCCGTCCCACTTTTTTTGATAAAGAATTTCTAAATTCTTTATCAAAGATTTAAGATAAACATTTATGCGAGTCGAAAAGCCGTGTTTTATTTTCTCGATCGAAGCCGGTAAAGCTACACGAGCCAATCCGTAGTTGGTAGCTTGTCTCGTGATACGTGAGTTCGCACCAAGGAGGTTAGAAGCAGGGGGGTAAAGGTGGGTGAGGAGGAGTGTCAAATCCCGTGCGCCGACACCCGGGGTCCCGAGTGAAAGATCGCGAAAGAGCGCGACAGAACACAAGAGAAAGAAAGCAACGTTGCCAGCTGAAGGACGGCAGTCGCGATGGTAAACGCGAAGAGTGAAAACTCTCAGCAATATAAACAGTGATAATTTAACGTTGTAAACTAAATTGTGAGCTATTCTAACGCTTATAAAAAGCAATCAAGTCATTACGCTGCATTAACTTCCCTTCTTGCGAAATCTCGGAAATCTGGTGGTTGCGTAGTTTCGTATTCCCCAACCGCGCCCACCCGCGCCCCACCGGCGAAGCCGGGTATATGGTTTAGTTTAGCGTTAACGCGAGGCCGTACATCTGCGCGCTATGTAAAAGGAAAGCTTCGAAAGGAACGCGAATATCTTTACACCGATAAGTTCGTGGATTGTTGAAGTTCACGAAACTGCTCTGATGATGTAACCGTGTTTGGGACCCCGAGGGTCTGCCTGCATGCTCCGCCGCTTGCGGCAGCCAGAATGTATGGGAAAATGGCGGACCTTTTCCTCTAGAGTTAGTATCGTTAGTATGTATGATCTCTATGGTTAGAAGTACTAGGAGGGGGCACGCTGCAGTATTGGTGAAGCCTAGTCATAAAAAGTTTAAACGATTTTGTGACCAGCGTGACCGCAGATCTCTCTGGCGATTGGTGCGCGTGACATGTCACGTGTGAGATGGGTGGTTGATTGTAGAAGGACTCCATGCAGGCTTGCGCACGCTCCGTCCGGTACGTTTTATCAGATCGAAGGCTAGATCTGTGGTGTATTCTAGTACCCCATAGCAAGACGAAGGCTAGCTACGGTCACGTGATGTGGTCACGTTGGCATGGTAAGTGAGGAGAGTAAGGAGGAAAATGAGAAAGAGACGAGGCGTCAAGGGAGCATGGCTTGTGAAGGCTATGCGGCCGACGTCATGCCCTCTCCTACCCTTCTATTCCCCATGGTTCGATTAGCCCGCGCCGCCCCATCCAATCAAAACGACACGTGGCGCCCTCTGAGCTATGAATTGGCTCCGGTCGCTCGTAGCGTCCTTTGCGGTCCATCGTAAACAGGGTGTCGAACCGAAACTCTTTTCGGTTTGGTTCAGTTTACGCTTCTCATATTTCTCCGGAGCGGAAGAAAATAACGGTTCGAACCGGGTTAAACCGGCTCATATAACGGTTTAAGGAAAACTGAAAAGTTTAACCGAATATTCGCACACCTCTACCGCCCATGAAGTGGATTACTACTGTATAAAATAGGTACTAATTTAATGATTTTCTGTACCCCATCTGTCTATTGGAGTAAACTTCGAAAATTCAAGACGTGTCATGGGACTAGGTACCCACCTTTTATTCACCAAACACAAAATTAAGTATGAGCTCGGCGAATCTATGCCGCCGGTTTCGATACTTTTATACGGCCGTACGCTTGTTCCGCACCTCTTTACGAACTTCCTATACACCAACTCATGTTTACAAACAAACCGGAGCGCCCCTAGCGGACGCCACCGGCGCCGCGCATGCGCGATGGGGGTGTGGGCAAAAAGCTCGCCGTCGCCCATAAACAAACCATTGGAACGTGATGTTGTCGGCGTCGGTGTGAGTCCCCCTGCCCTTTTTCGCGCTCGAATTGTTGATTCTACGTTTTCCTGGCGATGTCTGACTACTTGAGCGGCATCAGCGAAATTACCGAGGCTCGTTACACCGCAAAACTTCGCGTGAATAATGTGACATGTGGCGATTCATTCCGCGTGGACGCCGCAGTATGTACGCTAAAGCCTGATTCGCATGATGCGATTTCGCTCGCAATTTTCAGTCGCGACGCCGCTCGGGCTGCAAAAGCGTGAACCGTAGCTGAGATAGTCGACGTTGATACTGAAAATCGCAAGCAGAATCGGACCAAGTGAATTAGGCCTAACAAGTCGGTGATGGTCACTGGTAACGATGATCAACATCTCCTTGTATCTACTGTTTACACCGAGCCTGCTTACCAACCCTCGAATTTAAGTCTTTTGATGCTTGCACTTACTTCTTATCGCAAGTACCGGGCCAACATTTGGTGTACGGGCCGGGGTCGTCTAAGAGAGCAGACGACAAGCAGAAACGTTTGAAAGAGCAGACGACAGTTCGAACGATCAGGCGGCCGTTTGAACTTGAAGGCGCACTAAACGTAGTCCGCAGGTGAAGGAAACAAATAAATCTGATGACCATAAGTGTCCGTGAATTCAACCCAAAGTGCTTCCCGCCCAAGCAATCGTCCGACGGCGTCTGCTTTCCCCTTTTCACGGCACATATCCAGATTCTCGGACGAACCGAGCACGAGAAAACTGACCTTCAAACCTTTCTCGAAACTTTTGGTACGGCCCCAGTCGCGGCGTTTTGACGAGAAGGCAGGTTTTTGTCTGGTTACTTTCAAAACAACGCAGGAATACACGTCTGGCATGGGGACTTCTGCCCACAGACCCAGACCAGAAGTGCGACCGGCGCGCCACCACCGCGCCGTGACGTAACAGAGATGAGTTCGTGTATAGACTGTATTCGCATACACACGGGAAGTCGGCCGCGCTTGTCGATCAAGGTTTTGTCGGCCGAATCGACAAAGCCAACGTCTCATACTCGCATACACCCCGATTTAGCTACGCAAACGAAACAACAATCGGGATAATGTTCTGCGTCGGTGTCCAACCGCGCCCCAAGTCACGTTAACGTGCCTTGCTCCATTCAACAAGGACAGGACTATCGTCGATAATCACAGAGTTTCCGTGCAACGGTGATCAAAACAGGGCGTCAAATGAACGTTTGCGTGGTTTATGAGCATATACAAAATGAAGGAAATGTGCCCCATTTTCCGAAAAGAGCCAGAGCTGGAAACGAAATTCGAAGGCGTTGTTCGTCTTACCTTGAGCACCTTACATTAACGAAAGCGAGCAAACCGCAGACCCATGCACGCCGCAGCCGACGCAGCTTTTCCCGCCATTTTGTCTGTGTTTTCTCTTTCAGCACTGCAACTTCGTCAGCGATCCGGAAATGCGCCATGCCGCGCTTCTTTCGCTCCTCGTTATGGCCGATTCACACGATGGATTGATCCGCGGACGGATTGAGCACGTGACGACATATGCACGGTTCGTCCGTCTCCCAAGCGCATCCACACGAAGGACACGACGAGCAGACGCCAGCGAGGACAGACCGAACCTTTTCGCTTCACCCCCCCCCCCCCCCCCCCACACACACACACAC